TGGCCAAATTCTCTTCAATACACTCCTTGAGTTCAACCAATTCATTTTGTGATAAATTTTAGATTAGTCCAAATGGTAGTTGTGCTCCTTCTTGAAGGTCAATTGAGCAGTCATAGGAATGATGTTTCGAAAGAGTATCTACATTTTTCTTCTCAAATATATCTTAGAAATCTTGATATTGGCTTGGAATGCCACTTGAAGTCTTTCCACTAATAGAAACATGTGTGGCATAAATGATACAAGGTGATCCTTCTTTTGTAGCATGCAAGGAAGTTCTTGCATTTTTAAATACATGTTTAATTGTACTAAACTTATACCATTCTACTTGATTAGGTATGTTCTTAGTTATACTTTCAAAAAAATTAAGACTACAAGAAGTCCAAAGTATTTTAGGGTTATATTTTTCTAGCCATGATAAACCTAAAATGACTAGATTAGAAGGAGATCTAATGATATTAAATATTATAAAGCTACTATAACTATTAGTTGTTACTTCTATATGAAGGATTTCATGAGTAACATCTTCTAAAGACAATGGACGACCATCTATGACTTCTATATGAATAGGTTTAGTTTTCTTCAGTTAAAGTATGATATGTCTTTTAGCAAATTCTTCATCTAAGAAACATGCTGAGGCTCCTAAATCTAGCAAGGTAGAGGCTTTGTGATGTTTAGGTTTTAAAATAATATTTATCGTACAACAGGGAGAAGGTTGTGAGGAGAGAGTAGGACCTTCATTAGGTATTGTATAAGGTTCTATTTGCATGGTCCCTATTGTAGTTGGACAAATTCGTTCTTTGACATACTATCTTCTTTGATAACCGTTGTCGTGATATAATACGACTATTTAGTAAAATTATATTCAAAATTAAACTTTTAATTAATATCTAATTATCTTAATTTAATTATAATTTGAGGTATCTAAATATAGTTTTTATAAAAGCCTCTTAGGTTATTTATTTATCTTAATAACTAGTAAGTTGAAGGTTAATTAGTAATTTTATCTTTTAGGTTGTATAGACTCTTCTATTACCTTAGAAAGACCATATATTAATGAAATCAAGTTAGATGAGATAAATTATTAGTATAATTGGTACTAGGATTAAATTGAGAGTATGTTTGGGCTAAAAAATCCTTAGGATAGGATAGATTGATACTCGGGGCTCGATCGTTTGTGAGACTGGGTCAAAATCAAACCTATGGCCACTAAAACAACGGCCTAGGGCAAAATAGGATTTCATTTGAAGATTAGAGGTCAAGATTTGAGAGCTACCTTGAAGTTCATTCCAAAGACATAAGAATTGTTTTGAGACGGTTTCAGAGGACTAGCAATTGTTCTTCAAAGTTAGGATTTGTATCAGTGATTTAGGTTTAATATAATATAATTAGGACTACCAATTTTGGCTAGGTCGTGCAATTGGCATGACATCTATGATTGAAAATTTGATGTTGTTTGGATTATTGGGTCTACTAAGTGGATACAAAATTTTGTGATAATCTAACGACGTGGTTTAGAGATATCTAGTTTTTAGCACAAGAGGGTTTCAGAAGGTGGCAGTTTGAAGTTGGACAGGGTTTCTATGATATCTTAAGATCTATTAGTTGGATTGAAGTAAAAATTGGCATGGTATTGGAGGACTTAAAGATCAAGCTATACACTAATTTTGAGACAAAGTTAATAGTTGGAGAAGGAGAAATCATTGCTAAGATTTTTACTTTAGTTTTCAAGTTAGTAGCAAAGTGACATTGGTGCAATTTTTGGAGGTTTTCTCACAATTTGTAAGTTGGATTGGGCTAAAAATATTTAAGTATTTAGAAGACTTGCATTGAAAATTGCATACCAAATTCTACATCAAGTGGATAGTCTAATTGGATGTTACAGCTTGTTAAAGCTCACTGATTAGGATTGGAATTTACAAGAAAAATTTAAATTGCTTAAATATGGAAGTAACAAGATAATTGGGATTTATGTATGGTTAAGACTACTAAGAAGAGTATTTTAAGCTTTTTTGAATTGAAATTGAGATTATATTCTTCTTGCATGGATGAAACCTAGTAGGATTTCTTAGCTACTTTTGAAACATAATCTCACCTTCTACAGCTAAGTGCTCAGTGCATTCCTGAGCAAAACAATACGTAATACGACATAAGTGGTGAATCCGATATGAAATTTTGGAATGGAAGGAATTGGATTATATTTGTGGTTATTTGGAATTGATGGCGCATGAAGGCAAGAAGGTTGAATTTGGACTTTGTGATGGAGCTTCAAGTGAATCTTCAAGCACAACTTCAAGTGGAATTTTTACTGGTGAACAAGATATGTACTTTGACCCAAACATTGCAAAAATGTTTCAAGCATTTACATTATCTATGCAATAGCAATAAGGCAATAATTGTAAAGAAGCTTTGGCAACCAAAGCATTACAAATAGTAGATAACAAGGTTGACCAATTTGATGGCAGAGATATTTCCAAATATTTAAGATGTTATGTACAGGAAATGGAATTGAATCGCATTTCTGAGAAGGAGATAATTCAATTATTTGAGCTTACTACAGTATCAGAGATAAGAGAGCATATGAGGTCTATTATGGAGCAATTTGGAAGTTCATGGGAGGTATTTTCACATGCATTGAAGGATGAGTATTTTTTAGAGGATATTAATCAAGTTACCAAGAAATCATTCTTGGAATGGATTGACTGACCTAACAAAAATTTGCAAGCTATCTTTAGTAAAGGAGGTATGAAAGCATTAGTTTAAGATTATTTGATATAGAATATGTAAATAAATTTTGTGGAAAGTTACTGGTTGGTTATTGACAACCTTGAGAATTAGACTTATGGTTAGGCAGTTTAGTTGGTAACAGTAGATTGTTAGTGGAACAAATGATTAAGAATTCAAAGGTTCATATCTTTTGGAATCTGGTGGCCGACGGTCCATCTTTTGGTAGGATAGAGATGTTGAGAAAAGAGAGAACGTGGCCAGACTATGAGAGTCGTAAGCCTGGGTAAGCTTGATGCTATTTTTTTATTTTTTTGCTTTTATTATTTGCTTATGAAGAATTGTGATTGAAAGAAGTATTGTTGAAACTGAGATTAGAATATTATAGAATATGACTTTGGACTGACCGTTTTGGAAAAAATCTGTGACCTTGAAAATTGAGATTATCAAATTGTATTGTGTTAAGTGAAGATATTAAATTCTATGTGATGAATTGAGAAATTGAATATAATAAGTAAACTAGAGATCAATAATTGAATATATATAAACTGCAAAGAGAGTAAGTGGGAGATGAACTGATATGAATATGGAAGTATTGTTGAATTGATAGTCATAAAATGGATTATGTGTAGAATTAAGACAGAAGTAGTAAGCCTTGGTGTTTTGTAGTTTGATAATTGATTTTAGATAGCTAGAGTACTTTTAATTGTGATACTAATAGACCCAATTCATATAACCAGTCTTTTCCCATGTTTGAACCCACCTCTATTAGTTCAATTGCTTTGGTATATTAAAGCTTGAACGCAACGAGAACAACATTTTGGCAACATTGCCAGAGAAATGATAACAATATAAAATGTTAGAAATTGATTGTATGGGAGATGGAATTATATGTTGAATAAAAACGTGAAAAGAACCAGTTTTAGGGTTATAAATATGTGAGTTATAATTCAAGGCAATATTGATTTTGTAAAGAAGAATGAAAGATTATGAGTGATTATCAAAAAATTAATCAACAAGCGAAAGAAAGACAAGAGCGATTATGCATAAGAAATCTCCTATAGGAACGATAAGCTAGAATTGTAGATTCAAGTAAAACCAAAGGAAGAAAAATTCAAATTCAAATAATAAGGAGCCCAGTGATAACACCAATCACCGTAGAAGTGCCAGAAGTACCAATTACGGTACAAATGGGAGCAATAAGAGATCACACTATAAATGTGGCACTATTACCTATTTTTAGTAGTTGGCTAGGCTCTGATCCTGATCACTATATATCTGAATTTTTGTCAGTCTGCATGCCTAATAATGGTAGAACTGAAGATATTTGGTTGAGATGGTTGCTAGCAACTTTAAAAGATACAGCTTTTGAATGGTATAATCGACAACCAGTGGATAGATTTTTCAATTGGGTGGCCTTCAAGAATGCCTTCCTAATCCATTTTACACCAATTGGATTTGAAGATCGGCTTCGAGAAAGTTTGATGAATAGCAAAATATTTGCGAAAGAATCAGTAGAGTCCTATTGTAATCAGGAAATCCGAATTGCCACAATTTCTGAATTAAGTATAGTTTAAATTGGTTCAAATACAAGGGAAAGAACTGTCGCATGAGTTAATTATTAAGGTCACCATTAATTGAATATAATCATTTGATATTCAATAAGTTAATTCCCAATCACTGAATCATATAATATTAATTCTTCAGTAACATGTCTAATTTAATAACTTCAATTATAACATTCTCAATTTCTTATCAATTCTCTGTAATTCTAACTTCATTTATATTTTCCAACTCAATGGTCATTCAATCATTTTCAAACTATCATCTCTCAATTTATAACACTATTTCATGTGCAATGTATAGAACCAATTCTGGTCCAATACAGCATTCACTGTAACACTGTGATCAACACACAATTCTCATAAACTTCTCTTTATAAACACAACGAAACATCAAAATACAAAAAGAAAGAAATAGAAAAAAAATAGAGGTAGCACCCAAGCATACCCCGGCTCTAAGACTCACAAGTCTGGCCCTAAGCTAATCAATCTTTCTCCTACTATACCCTTTTTCAGATTCCAACCGGTTTTTTTTGTCAGTTAACTGTATCTTGGAACCTTTCACATGAATATTGGTTTCCTGATTTCATCAATACTGGTTCTAATCTACTAAAGTCAAAATTTTAGCACTAACTAATTTACCCGTTCTACATAGCCCCACTCCTAACTGTGTCGCGTCCTCGCAAACATCCAATTCTAGAACCAATTCTCCTAATATTATTGGTTGTCAGCATTGGTTGGCTCCGATAATTCATCCAATAAGATCGTTTCAACTGGTGCTTGTGCCTGAAAATTAGGTTCTTCGATTTCCTCTTCTTCTTCTTTTTCTTCTGCCTTTTCCAATTGCTCAGTTAAGTCTTCATTGGCAAATCCCAACACTCGCACTTGCTCTTCCAACCTTACAATATACTTCTGATGGTCATCAAGCTTGGTCTTCAATTCTGCAACTTCTTCAGAATTGGAAGTACTCACCGGTTGTCTTGTTAAATCCAATTCTGCTTCCAAATTTCTAATGCGATCCTGTATTGTAGCAACTTCTAACAACATCTGTTGATGGTCTTTCTCCAATTTCGCACATTTCTCTAGGGATTCCTGCAATTGTGTCCTTGCTAGATCTCGTTCCTGCTTCGAAAGATCTTCTGCAGCTTGATGAAGCATTCTATCCATCTGCCAATCCTTCTCCATTTTGTTTAACCTAACCTCCAATTCTGTATACTTCGTCACTTTCTCAGCCAACTTCTCTTCCAATTCTGCAATTGTCTTCTGTTGAGTTGCAACCAATTTCTTCTGATTCTCCAAATCTTTACTTAGCTCATCACTATCTTGTAATTCGTGCACCATTCTATGCAACCTGTTGAATTGGAGTAAGAGTGTCTCCACTTGATATAACAGCATCTCTTTAGCACTTCCCCATTTATCACCAGAACTGTGTTGACCCTCGAATTGGGTAGATGTCTCTCCAGTCAACCGGTTTGGTAAAACCAAAGCTAAAGATGGTTCTGGTCTTTGATCCAATTTTTCCTTGCCCTTAAAACTGGTACCTACCGCGATTGATGGCTGATTGGTTTGCTCCTGCTGATTTTGCACTATCTGCTTAGGTGACTTGGCTTGCTCAGTCTCCTTCTGTCTTTCTTCAAGGGTGACTACCTTCCCTGACTTCTTCAACCTCGCCTTCTCTTGTTCTTGTAGAGGGAGTTTCAACTGATACTTCACTACCTCAGAGATGTAATTGGAACAAAGTAATGTAGTAACCTTCCCTAACGTCCTCTTGTATGATAACTCGTTATGCATACGTTGAGCTACAAACTCTGCCCAATTAAACTTCATACCATCCATTGAAGCTACTGCTGCGAACAACAAGTTCTTGGCAATATATGTTGTATATCTATTTAACGCCATTTTCTTCTCAACAAATCGTAACCACTCTCCCACTTCTGATTTAAGAACGTCTAGTACCTTCCAACCCTGGCCCTTCACAAACGCGTCGGCCTTCGAACAAAAATATAACTCCGGATTGAACTCCACTGTCACCTCCGATCCTACGGCCAGTTCTCCAATTGGCAAATACAAAACTTTGTGTAGAATGGACGCCTCCAATCCCACAATACGATTATGCACCACACTCGAACCATCTGATGGGTCATAATGTCGTACAAATTCTTCTACAATAGATGGATCTAATGGTGGTAAAACTCTTGAATATCGCAAGAAACCATAAACGGTCGCCTCCTTGAAATCTTTCTCGAATTTCCTCTGCCACAACAAGTCAATCTGGCAATTCTCCATATTTGTGAACGTTACCAGCTCCAATTCTGGTAACTCATTCCTAAACCTCACATTCCTTGACCTATCATCCTTCTCTTTTGTTCGCTTAAGACGTCTCGCCATTGTGAAACCCTAATAACAAAACCTCTCACCCTAACACAAAAACACCTCTTTCGGTATTTTCTCACGAAATACTTCTCAACTGAACAATCTTGCTCTTGTCTTAAACACTCAATACTTTGGGTGTACTCAATTGCTCGGCTACAATTGCAAGAATGGAGGTACTAATTCAGAAGTGCCCCTCTCCTATCAGTTGTAATGGGTTACATCAAAATTACGGCGTACTTAACAAGTCTCCCCTCCTCATCATTAAACATACCCGTCCTCGGGTTAAGAGGAAATAATAATGAATTTGGACTGATTAGACAATTACATTTGATATAACTTTAACCGATAACCATTAATATGTGTAAGCAACTTAATGCCAAAAAAATCTTCCAATTGTACTGATCCATTAGAATAATAGACAATAACTTTGTAAGGTCCATGCCATCGTACTTGAAATTTTTCTGAAAAATTCTGAAACCGACTATCATACAGCAAAACCAAATCATTGGGTTTAATAGTTTTCAATTGTAATTTGCTATCGTAATAACTTTTCCATCGTTTTTGAATGGCTTCCATAACCATCAAAGCGTGAGCTCGATTCTCATCCAATTTCTCCAATTCAGATAACCTAAATTGAAGCGACGCTGTATCACCTAAGCGTTCATCCACTGCAATCCGTAAACTGGGTACTTCCAATTCAATTGGTAAAATAGCCTCTTACCCATACACCAATTGGAAAGGCGTAGAATTGGTCGTAACCTTATAAGCAGTACGATAAGCCTATAAAGTCGCAAACAATTTTGTGTCCCAATCGGTGCCAGCACCCAAAATTGTCTTGGTTAATATTTTACATAAAATTCCATTAGTCTTTTCAGTTTGACCATTGACCCGAGAGTGATAAGGAGAAGTTTTACGATGCTTAATCTCGTACTTATTTGTTAACGCAGCGATAGTGTTATTAATAAAATGAGTTCCACGGTCACTGACCAATTCCTTAAGGCATCCAAACCGGGTAATAATATTTTCATACAGAAAATTGGCTACAGTGGCAGCACTATCAGTTCGAGTAGCAACAGCCTCAGCCCATTTTGTAACATAATCCATAGCGACCAATATATATCGCTTTTGTCCATTGCAAGAAGCCGGTGCAATTGGTCCCACAAAGTCAATACCCCATTTTTCAAAAGGTATTTGAGCTAGAATTGGTACTAGTGGCATTACAGACGTAACAGTTGGTCTACCAATTCGCTGACATAGGTCACAATGCCGGACATATTGATGGGCATCCGCAAACATTGTAGGCCACCAATAACCAGCCAATAAGGCCTTTCGGGCTGTAGCATCTCCAGCAAAATGACCACCACAACTATCCATGTGACACCCTTCTAAAATTAAGTCAACTTCACTTTGATATATATACCGTCGTAAGACATCATCTTTGCCCTTTTTATACAGTACATTTCCAATCATTGTGTAAGGAGTGCTCTTATAAAGCAACTGCTTCTTCATTGTCTCCGTAAAAGTTATAGGAAATGTTTGTGATGTTAAATATTGAATTAAATCGGCATACTCTTCCAAAATTATATCAACAGCAAACAAATTAGCATCAGGTAGGGAATCTGGAACGGGATCATCTCCCATCTCCTTAGTTAATCGTGACAAATGAACGGCATTGGCATGAGATTTACCAGGTCTGATAATAACTGTAAAATTAAATTCTTGTAGCAATAATACCCAACGAGCAATTCGTCCACTTAATTGAAGTTTATTAATCATATATTTTAAAGCATCATAATCTACGTGGAACACAAAAGAATATTCTAATAGATAATGCCAAAATTTTTGAACTGAATAAATCTTTTCCAAAGCTTTTTGCTCAGTGGTGGTATAATTACGTTCAGTAGCAACCAATTGCCGACTTGCATAATAAATTAGATGATCACAATTCTTTTCATCTTTTTGACTTAAGACCACACCAATTGCAACATTGGATGCATCCACATATACATGAAAAACTTTAGTCCATCAAGAAGAGACCAATATTGGAGCGGATACCAATCTACGTTTTAAGTCCTCGAAAGCAACGGTACACTCACGTGTCCAAATAGGACTCATACCATTGGATGTTGGCTTCTTTAAAAGATTAGTTAAGGGTTGGCAAATTACTACAAATGATTGGATAAACCTTCGATAATAACTAACATGTCCCACAAAACCTCGCACACCAGAAACTGTATCGGGTCTAAGTAAATTGGCTATTTTTTTTACTTTATCTGAGTCAGTAGCAATTCCTTTTTTGGAAATAATATGCCCCAATAGTTTCCCTCAAGGAACACCAAACGTACGTTTTTTGGAATTCAAAGATATACCGAAGTGATCACATTGATCCAAACAATTGCCTAGCCATTTCAAGTGGTCACAACGTTTACTAAATGTGCAGAAATCATCCAGGAAAATTTCCATGGAACTACGCAAATATTTATGAAAAGCCTGAGTCATAACACGTTGAAATGTAGCTGGAGCATTACATAGCCCAAATGGCATAACTGTATACGCGTAGGTACCCCAATCAGTTGTAAACGTGATCTTTAATTGGTCATCCTTAGCAATCTTTACTTGATTATACCCTGAAAATCCATCTAAGAAGGAATAACACTCATGTCCAGCGACTGCATCCAATATACTATCCGTAAAGGATAATGGAAAATAATCTTTCTTAGTAACAACATTCAATTTGCGATAATCTTGGCAAATGCGGATTTTCCCATTCTTTTTAGGTACCATTAAAATTGGGGAAACCCACTCCCTATATGGAACTTCGTAAATAAATCCAACTCGTAATAATTTATCCAATTCTTCTTTTACTAACAGCGAATACTTCGGATTCAGCCGATGTTGTCTTTGGCGAATTGGTCTCGCAGTTTCTTCTAACACAATTCTATGTTCTGCAATTTCTGCCGGTATCCCTCGTAAATCGTTGTAAGTCCAAGCAAATGCAGGTTTATGCTTATGGACAAAATTGATCCAATCTTGAAGCTCTCGTCCTTGTATACCACCATAAACTTGAATGGGTTGACTCTGGGTCTCTAATCCCAGATTAATCTCCTGACAAACTGGTTCTACCAATTCCGGTGCTTCCAGTTGTTCATCCGGTTCTGAACCCGTTACCAATTCTGATGAATTGGTACCATCCATTTCTGGCTCCATCGCACTAATATGGTTGACTGCATAATTGTTCATCCATCTTGCAATGGCATGGTCAGAATTGTCAGTATCTTCTTGGTGAATTAAGTACTCCCCTGGTCCATCACATTGATAAATAACTCCTGTATGTTTTGTAAGAGATTGAATTTGTTCATATTGTTCGTTTCCATGAAATGGATCCTCATCGTTGCTTGATTCACTATGTCCTTCTGAAGTAAATTCCGTGCAGGGTACTTGTGATTCGTCATGATAGGAAACTGGATACATTTGCAAAACAATTTTATTGCACTTTTTTCCAATCGTCAAGGTCCCCCGTCTCCAATCATTACGAGCCTTCACATGAAATAACCAAGGTCTACCTAATAGAATTGGGTATGATAACGTAGAACTCTTCAATTGAAAGACTACATAATCGATCTTGTATGCAATTCCCGCAATAATTGTCTCCACATCTACCAAAACTCCCATCGGATGGACTTTACTATGATCCGCCATACGTAGTAATAAAGTAGTAGGCAATAACCTAGTCAAACCCAATTTCTCCATAGTATCATCTGTCATCAGATTGATGCTAGAACCACCGTCTACTTGGACGCCTGAGATTAAAACTCCGTCAATAGTAACATCAATTGTAGGTGCTCCAGGATCCGGATTTAAACTCACCTCATGAATCTCTTTGTCTCGATGTCTTCGTTGTATCAATGAAGAAGTTAGAGTAGAACGACACTCTGGTGCTCTAGCCAATAATTGCTTCATGGTAATAG